GCCCGGGCCACCAAAGTCTAAGGGGGACCCCTGTCCAAAAAAAAAAAAAAAAAAAAAAAAAGAGTGCTTACTTCTTTTCCAGAGGACCTGAGGTTGATTCCCACCACCCATGTCAGGCAGCTCACAACTGCCTGTAACTCCAGTTCCAGGGGATCAGATGCCCTCTCTGGCCACCACAGGCATCTGCACACATGTAGCATTCATTCACACACACACACACACAAATTATGAAAATTAAATCTTAAAAAAAAGCCAGGCATGGTGACTCGTGCCTGTAATCACAGAACCTGGAAGATGGTGGCAAGAGAATCAGGAGTTCATTGTCTCTCAGCTACACAGAGAGTTTGAGGCTGGCTTGGACTACATGAAACCCTGTACCAAACAAACAGACAAATATACATACCAGAATGGTTTATAAATAAATGGGCTTGCTTTCCTGCTCTGTGTCACTGGCAGAGGCTTGAGGAGGCTATAGACTGAATCAGAGGAGAGGTAAGGGAGAGTGAAGGGGTGCACATGCACAAACACGAGACCTTGCAGAGAAAGTGAAACTTCCCAATACATCAGAGCTGACTGTCTTGGTGTGTAAGTCTGTGCTAGGAGCATCAGGAATAAGATTCTTGTCAGGATCCAGGGTCTGTGGCATAAGCCTTCAATCCCAGCACTTGGGATTTCCCAGCACAAGTTGGAGATTAGCCTAATCTACCTAACAAGTATAACAGTCTAGCCAGGGCTATATAGCAAGACCTTGTCTCAAAAAAGGAAAACAAAAGATTCTTATGTTTTACAAACTATGAGAAAATGCATTGAGCACAAGTATTCTCCACCCCTCCTCTACCCCTTGCCCTTCGGTGTTGGAGACTAAACCAAAGGCCTTGTGCACATTAAACATGTATTCTACCATCTAGCTATGACACCAGCCACAATACAAGTAATTTTTTAAAATTATCTTTCCTTTCATGAGTGTTTTGCCTGCATATGTGTATGTACACTACCTATGTGCCTGGTGCTCATGGAACATTTCTAAATCCCTAGAACTGAGTTAGAGATGTAAATCTGTCATGTAAATACTAGGAACAGTACCCAGGTCCTCTGCAAGAGCAGCAAGTGCTCTTAACCACTGAGCCATCTCTCCAGCCCCGGCAAATGATTTTTTAAAGATTCATTTTTTATCATTTATGCATATGTGTGTCTATATGTGCACGTGCTTATGGGTGTCCACAGAGTCAGGAAGATGGCATCAGATCCTCTGGAGCTGGAGTTACAGGCAGTTGTGAGTCACCTGACATAGATTCTGGAAACTGAACTCTGGGCTTCTGAAAGTATAGCAAGTGCTCCTAACCACTGAGCCAGCTCTCCAGCCCCAATAAAAGTGATTTTTAGCTTCACTGAGAAAATAGTCCTTGAGGCTCCTTGGGGCAGCATGCTTGAGGGAAATGAATGGGCTAGCTAAGTTAGGTCATCACACCCTGTACCCTCAAGCCATATCTGTCTTCTCTTTGCCACCTTTACTAAATGGCCAGCACCCTGAAGTCTCTCCTGCCATCATCCCCATCTCTTTTTCTTCTGAGCATCCAAACCTGCCATTATTTGGCTCCAAACCTTGGATTTCCTCATCTAAGGGCCTAGACTTAGTGTTGAGCCTGCTCATAGCCAGATTCTATCATGAACAAAGCCCCCCCCCAAATTAATAATAATAATCTTCCTTGCTAGGAGTGGTGGTACCCTTCTGTAATCCCAGTTTCTAGGCTAATAAAGCAGCAGATTTGAGTGAGTTTGAGGGCAGCCTGGGCTATTAGAGCAAGTCCTATGTGAGAGGTTTCGCCTTGCCTACAACCTTGGTTTTTCCTATGGTCTAAGTAACTGAGGTAGTTCTGGCTAAGATGTCTGGGAAGGAACAGCAAAAAAATGTTGCCATCCTTTCCCATGAATGTATATGAAATATTCCCTTATTAGAACCTGAACTATGTCAGGTGTGGTGGCACAGGTCTTTAGTCCCCAGCACTCAGGAGGCAGAGGCAGGCAGATCTCTGTGAGTTCAAGGCCAACCTGTTCTACATAGCAAGTTCCAGGTCAGTTGGGGCTACAGAAAAAAAAGAACCTGAACTATGTGAAGTCAAAGAGAAGTTTGGAAAACTAAGGAGAGTGTCCTATAAAAATGGGCAGGAATGTTGATATGCCATAAGAAAGACCAGGAATGGACCATCCATCAAGAAGGGGATTAAGTGACCTCCCTTGTTCAAGGCAGAACACTGAAGCTTTAGAATACTAATCTGGGCTGAGAGAGATCCAGGAATAATTTGTGTCCAACCCTGTACAAGAGCTGGATGTGGTGGTACACACCTGTAGTTCCACCTATTTGGGAGGCTGAAATGAGAGATCACTTGAACCCGTAAGTTTGTTTTTGTTTTTATTTTATTTTATGTGTGTTTTTCCTGCATGTATGTAAGTATACCATGTGCATGCAATGCCTGCAGAGGCCAGAAGAAGGTGTTGGATAATCTGGAATTGAAATTATGAATAGTTGTTAGCCATCATGTGGGTTCTGGGACCCAAACCTAAGTCCTCTGCAAAAACAGCCAGTGCTCTTAACTGCTGAGCCACCTCTCCAGCCCCGAGCTCATGAGTTTTGAGGGGAGTCTGGGAAATGTAGCAAGACCCTGTCTTTAAAACAAAACAAAAACAAACAAAGAAACAAACAAATGAGGGGTTAGAGATGTAGCTCAGCTGGTGAGTGCTGGGTTCAATCCCAGCACCAAATAAAATGGGTATGGCGGTGCACACTTGTAACCCCAGTATTCAAGAGGTAAAAGCATAGTGAATTTGAGGCCAGCCTAGGCTACATGAGACTCCAAAGTCTTAAAAAACAAACAAATATAACGCAAGTCTGTGCATACCATTTGGGAGGTAACATGATTCCCAGGGCTCTGGAATGGTTCTGTGGGTCTAAAAGTGTAGAGTACCAGGCCTTCCATGGGGAGCAGAGAGAACAGCTACCCCTCAATGCTTTATTTGGGAGGGCTTGGGGGAGGCTGACCCAGTTACCCAGCTGCACCTATGTCTATACATCTCAACAGCTCTGTCTGAAAGATGAGCATATTTAGTTTCTCACACATTGCCTCCACATTTTGACAACTCTAGGCATAATCAGATTGTCTGTTTTCTAAGTATGGATAAGAATAGGACTTTCAGTTCTTATATCTTTAAACCACTTAGAAAGAAAACCTTTAGAACATTGCCTAGAAAGTTAACAGTTATAAAAATGACACAGTATATCACATTTAAAATATTATGTGTAAACTGGGTGTGGTAGCCCATACCTTTAATCTCAGCACTCAGTAGTCAGAAGCAGGCAAATATTTTTTGTTTTTTCAGACAGGGTCTTCCTGAAGCCCCAGCTGGCCTGGAAATTTCTATGTAGACCAGGCTGGCCTTGAACTCAGAGATCTGCCTGCCTCTGCCTCTGCCTCCCGAGTGCTGAGATTAAAGGTGTGTGCCACCATGCCTGATGAAACACCTTAGGAGTTTATAGCATGAAAAATGAATCTGCCCTAACTTCAGATCTTTAATTCCCTTCAACAAATACAGGCAACCATAACTAACTTTCCTGAAACTCTAGAAACTTCCATGCTTAGGTACGTGTTTGCTTGTACAGATATGCTTATACTAGACTAATCATGTTTGTTCACTCATTCTTTCTTTTAATTCTTCCCTATCCATGCATTAACTTCTATCTTCTGTTTTATCATTGTTATTTTAGCTTTTATCATTATTACTACTGTGGGGTGAGGGCATGTGTGAAGTCAGAGAATGATTTAATGGAGTTGGTTCTCTCCTTCCACCATTATGTGAGTTCCAGGGATTAAACTAAGGTTGCCAGGCTTGCAAAGCAAGCACCTTTACCCTCTATTTTGGCTTATTTTTTTAGACAAGGATTCCCTGTAGCCCTAGCTGGCCTAGAACTTGCTATGTAGTCCAGGTTGGCCTCAATCTCACAGAGATCTGCCTGCCTCTTCCTCCTGAGTGCTGAGATTCAAGGTGTGTATCACTACACCCAGCTATGTTTTCTGTTTAAAGAGCTGTATAGTGTCCATTGTTATGACTAGACCACAGTCAGTTGAATCCATCTGCTAAAATATTTAGCTGCTTCCAGTTTCTGCTCTCCAGGACT